CTCCAAGCTCTCCCGAATCCTTTTATGGCGTACAATCCTTAGAAGAGGATTACATTGATGTTCCTTCTCGCCCAACCACTGCTCCACCAGATCAACCGGAAAGACTTAGTCCGGTAGATGAACAACCTGAGGTTGATCCCTGGGTTACATCTCCAAGTGATCCCCGAAACTCTCAATTCGAGAATTACGGACCTGCAGTAATTGGACTAAGGACCAATGGACCGCCCTTACACGTTGCTGATGGCACGAGTATTGGCAATATCACTTTGGTTGTCAATAACAATCAGCCATATCAAGCCACAAGATTCGTTCAATGGCAAAACTATAGACGCCAACTGGAAGCTTGGATAGAAGTTGAAGAAGCAGCTAACCAGCGTTATCAACAAGAACTCAGAACAGGACGAGAGCTTCTTGTCCGTCAAGGATTCCAAAGTCAGAATCAAGAACTGCTTCAATGGCATGAACGGTACTTTGATGATGGTGACTATGGAGATGGCCTTGAAGGAGTTGATAACGATTGGGCTGAAAGCAACGATCGTGGAGACTGGCAAGTTTTTCAAAGTTCTAATAGTCAAACTTTCACTAAATCCTCGATGCAGAACTATCATATCCTAAGGAACTCAGTACCAAGGAAATGTAGTATTACTTCTGTATATGCAACGACGAAATACAAGTCGTTTTCTGCTGCATTTTCGAGTGATTGTGAAGTGAGAAATACGCAAAATGCCTGGCTACTTGATAGTGGGGCATCAGCGCATATGACTCCGTATAAAACGGATTTCTCAGACTATCAGACTTTAGAAATGCCAATAGGTCTTACTACATCAGCGGGTGATAAAGCAAATGTGCAAATAGTAGGCTATGGTACTGTCCTCATTCGACATACCAATAGCGCAGGAGTGACACAAGTCACAAAGTTATACCCAGTGATGTATAATCCCGACAGCCCACATCGTTTAATCTCTAGTGGGAAGTTCCGGAGTATAGGTTACTATACTTTACTGGACTCTCCAGAGACTTCGATCCGGAGCAAGAAAGATGATTCTCTTTTAATGAGCTTTTACCCAAGCCATAAAGATGATCCTTTACGATGGATGAACGCGAAGGTTCTTGTGGGAGAAACTTCCTTCACATCCGTAGTATCTTTCAATACTTCTGAATTATGGCACAGACGTATGGGACACTGTGATCCCAGAGTCTTAGGAAAATTAATGGATAATGTTAAAGGGCTTCCAACGAAGTTGGTTACTTCGAAGGAAGAAACGAAACCATGCCGAGGCTGTGCCAAAGGCAAAATGGTTGCCAAATCGTACCCTTTATCCTCAAAACGAGCTAAGGAGCCTCTTGAGCTCGTGCACGGTGATTTGATAGAGTATCCAACTCGCTCTTACTACCAAAACGAATATGTATTAACCTTATTCGATGATGCAACATCATTCGGATGGGTATATCCAATTCGTAAAAAGAGCGATACAGATCAGAAATTGCGCAATTGGCTAGCTCTTGTAGAGCGCCAGACTAATAAAAAGGTCAAAAGTGTGCATTTCGATCGAGGGGGAGAATTCTTTTCAAATGAACAATGGGACTGGTATAACTCTCTAGGAATATTTCCGCAAAGAGGTTCTCCCAACGTGCATGAACAGAATGGACGAGCAGAAAGATTTAATCGTACACTACGAGAAAAATCTGAAGCTATGCGCTTTCAGGCTTGTGCGCCTGAAAATTGGTGGGAATTTGCAATTCTCACAGCTGTCCATATCTACAATAGAACTCCTATTCGTTTAAGGAAATACAGAACTCCAGTTGAATTGTTTGAAAATAAGAAGCCTGATGTTTCATACTTCAGGACGTTCGGATGTGGTGCATATGCATACATACCGAAACGTAAAAATAAGCTTGCTCCACACTCCGAAGCAATGATTTTCATTGGTTACGAGAGCGGATCAAAAGCTTATCGATTCTTTCGAACAACCAACAATTCTGTATACATTACTCCACAAGCAGTTTTCGATGAAAACTGGTTTCCTAAATGTCAGAAAGAAGTGCCCGGATCCATAGAGTTTGATAAAACTGACAAACCTGTCCGGTCTATACCCTTTCCAACGTACCCATATGATGGCCATGAAGATCATCACAATGATGATGACTTCTTCAATCCTCCACCTCCACCAGGATCAGATGATGATGATCATCAGCCTGGGGGAGATCCTCCCTTGGATCCTATCCCGGATGATAAAAGCGATGATGTGCACAACGGCGATCATCCAAGTACTGATGGATTCGGATCACCGAAAGGTTCCGATCACAATCCTAATCAGTATGGTCCGGATCCACGGTCTGCTGGTTCTTCTGGACGAACAAATCCATTTGGATTTCGCCAAGCTGACTATGATGAGTGGGAGAACTTACGAGCTCCTCCACCAGCAGCTATCAGAAGAAACCCTCCAAGAAATAGAATAACTCCCAACCGTCCGTTTAATGTTTATGGAAACCGACATCCTGTTGAGATCGAACGCGATATCGATTCTCAAGCACGCTGGCAAAGTCAGATTAATCCGACAAATGAACCTGAAACAATACCAATTAGGGTTCCTGATCCAGCCGCTCCTATGGACACGGATGATGATATGAGCGATCTTGCTCAGCAAGGGGGAGAAAATTACTTGGTTTACTTGCTGAATAACGGTCATCAACTATATGGTCTTCAAGCCAGTAGTTATGATAACGTTCGTGAATGGACATACAAACAAGTCCAGAAGCGTCCTAAAGATGAACGACCATCTTGGGAAGCAGCATGCAGACTGGAATTACAATCACTCAAGGATAGAAACGTCTTTGATGTGGTCACACTACCCAAAGGCCGAAAAGCGGTGAAATCCCGCTGGGTATTTGATATCAAGTCTGATGGCCGTAAAAAGGCAAGACTTGTTGCGAAAGGATTTTCGCAGAAACAAGGGATAGACTATAACGAGTTGTTCTCTCCTGTAGTACGATTCGAAACCGTACGGCTTCTATTGGCACTAGCAGCGCTTGAAGATTGGGAGATCTCTGCGCTAGACGTTAAAACAGCATTTCTTTATGGTGCCTTAGATGAGGAGATCTACATGGAACAACCTGAAGGCTTCGTTACGGACTCCAGCAAGGTTTGGAGGTTACGCAAAGCATTGTACGGATTGAAACAGGCTTCTCGTGCCTGGTGGCGTCAGTGTACTGAATCCATGAAACGTCTGGGATTCAAACGATGCTTATCCGATGCTGGCGTATATGTCTTCAACAAGAATGGCAATATGGTCATTGCCGTCGTCTATGTCGACGATGCTTTATTCATGGGTCCTGATCGCAACCTTGTCAACAGACTAAAAAGCGAATTCATGAAGATCTGGGAATGCCGAGATCTAGGCGAGCCAACAGAATTTCTGCGAATGCGAATTACTCGAGATCGGAAGAATCGCAGACTGATCCTTGATCAGCGAGACTATCTTGAAAAGATAATTCGTAAATTCGGAGTTCTGAACGCCAAGACGGCATATACGCCTTTGCCAGAAGGCTATAACCCAACCCAAAACCAGGGGGAGGTTAATCCCGAGATTAGGCATAGATTCCAATCAGTTATCGGATCATTACTTTACTTGGCTCTCGGAACCAGACCAGACATATCCTTTGCTGTAATCAAGATGTCACAGTATGGAGCTAATCCTAATCAGGAACACCTCCAGAAGGCACTTTACATCGTGAAATACCTTGTTCATACTGCAAAGTACGAACTTATTTACGATGGTAGATCCAATCAAGGACTACTTGCCTTTGCTGACTCTGATTGGGCAACTGATAAAGATGATCGTCGATCACAGACTGGATATATCGTAAAGCTTGCCAATGCACCAGTTTGCTGGGTCTCTCAGAAACAGAAAACGGTTGCATTATCATCCACGGAAGCAGAGTATATGGCTCTATCTGACTGTACACGTCAGGCTTGCTGGATGAAGTCGTTATTGAACGAATTGAACTTCCCTATTCGATCAGTTCCATGTGTTAGCGACAACCAAGGCGCTATCTTTCTCAGCAGCAATGAAGCTACTGATAAAAGAACAAAACACATCGACAATCGATATCATTTTATTAGGGAAGCAGTGGAACACGGAAAGACTAAAATCTATTTCGTTGAAACTGCTAAACAACCTGCTGATCTTCTTACGAAGAATCTTGGGAGAACAAAGTTCGAATTGTTCAGGCAATCTTTAGGATTAACATTTCACTAGTTTCATGATTGCATGATGAACTTAGTGAGGGGGAGTGTTGAACATGATGGATATCATGTGATACACTGTTGACGTGTTGTTTACGCGTCACACTATTTATAGAGCTACGCCTCTAGAACACTTGCGTCCTCATGCAAGTACTACGTCTCTGTCTACGTATCTTACTACGTACATCTAGTTTCATCATATATGACACTATAGACAGTCGCTATCCAATAGCACAAGTAGAGCCTCCAATACATGAGGCAAACACGACTATGCTCACCAAGCATACTACCATTCATGGTAGAAGTACTTACACAGTACTAATGTCTTTTACGCCTTTAGGGCCGAATACCTACTTCTAGTAGTAGTTTCAGTTAGTGTAATACTCATTACATGTACCAGAAACTTATGTATAAAAGACTGGACGAAAGGCCTTAAGCCTTAGGACAATCTACTCGATTATCACCTCTTCTCAAGCATCTCAAGACTACAAGAACACTCTGTGTATTACCCATGTGAGGTTTACTTCGTTATACCCACTGTGCACTTTAACTATGCTGGCTCATCAGTTTCTGAGTGCCAATGAAAATGACGAAAGACTCCAGTGGATAAATAGAGGCCCACCGGTGTGCACGTTCAACGTTCAAGGGAGGGGAGGAACCGCGCAGTAAATCGTATCGTCAAAAGCCAACCCGCGTCCCGGCTTCGGCTCCGAAACCCAGTGTCCCATGATTGATTGATCTCCGCGGTCTCCGCGACCCCTTAGCTCAGCGGTAGAACATCTGATTCCAGTGACCATGGCGTCGAGGAATCCAGAAGGTCGTCCGTTCAATCCGGGCAGGGATCACTAGTCCTCGATTGCCCGTGTATTTTTTACCGTGATTGAGGCAACGTGCTCATGTTGTGGTCTGCCCGTTGGGAATTGACACTTACTCTACCCACATCATCCATCCATTCATCCAAGATCAAAAAAGCTCCATAAACAAACTTATAGACTTCCACTACAGGGAATCGAGCCCTGGGCCATCGCGCTCCTAAGGATTTTGTACATGTGGGGAAGAAAAGGTTGGTGAGGATTAAGGAAGTCGAACAGCGGTGTGAATTGAGGTTGAGTATATCATTCAAGTCGAACTGAATATAACTACCCGAATGGCTTGGCGCGAGCAGGAATACTGGTTAGGTGATATATGGGCCGCTCTCCAGCCTGGTTGGATACAGCCAACCATAGCTTAGTTAGAAGAGGACAAAGCTGTAATGAGTTGCCTGAAATTTCTGTATCTTGGGGTCGCCTGTTCGAACCAGGCAGGTCGGATTAGATCTTTCCACTCATGAACATCGTCAACTGCTACTGTCTGAACTGAATCTGCTTTGATTCGCGTGAGAACGAAAGGTCCTTTTTGTCGATGACGTGAGCATCTTTCCTGAAACTGAACCATCACCATCTCCACATTCAAGTGCTATCCAAAGCCGGACAGAGACCTTTCCATTTGACTAGGTGGGCTTTTTGTTGGGAGTGGTCGCTTTCTCTCGCTAATTCTCGTCTATCATCAAGAAGTCAATGTTGAACCGGAGACAATACATGAGGGATGTTGAAGAGGTCTGATATATAAGATGCCGTAGGGGTATCGGTACGCATCGGTTCTCGTTTGCACTCCAATTCTTTCGTCGTTCTAGCTGCTCAGCTACCCTTTCCTTGGTTTGTTTGACGGTTTATTTCATACGGCGATGACTGACGGACTTTTCTCAAGCCTTCAATCCTGGTGTCGCTGGCTGCGGGCAAGATAAGAACATACAAACACAAATATGAAGAATCTGTTGCAACAGTCATGTTTTCCTTTTGTCATTCTTGCTGCTCGAGCCTTGGATATCATGGAATCTCCAGTTTTCACGTGCTGTCTCCCTGTCTCTTTTGTTTCGCTCTATCCAGGCTCACGGCTCGGATATCATAGCGGCGTCACTTGATCACGCCGACTGGAATATTTACATCCTTATCTTCGCACTCGCGAACGTTGAACGTTGAAGACCTATCTAAGCCATTGTCTGTCACTACGCGTCAACTCATTCTTGGTCTTTCTTTCCGTTCGCGTTCGGGTCGATGCTTCTCATTATCGTTATTGACGGCAACGATGAATAGATGCATCATCTAGATGCTATCGCTGCATCCAACCCACAACTCTGGGCGTACTTTGCGACTTACTTGATCGTCGGCTTCCTTGCTGCACAAGGTGGTGTCGTCGGTTTGTTTGACGTGGTTGCACTGTTCAAAAATCGGGCACTGGGCAAGGTCAAACTTCGCCACTGTGTCTCTGCATTCTCCATTCAACTACGTCTGAGCCTACGATTTGGACATGATCCTACGGCTTCAACATGACAGGGCGTAGAGGTGCTCTCTTTGATCTGGTGCTGCCGATGAACTGGTGGTAATTGTCGGTTGGTCAACTAGTACCGCCTTTTTTAATCACATGACTCCTCCAAGTCGCCTCATCTCTTCTCTTACGGCCCCACCTACCTCCATGCACTCTCTCGCCGCAGCGTTGTATTCTCCCTTTTATTGAATTTTTTGTTGCATACTCCCAGCCGCGCCGTTCTTGTTATCCCGTCTCCAAGATTGTCCAGACGATCTATAACCAAAGAGCTTCTCCCCATATCTAACATCGGGAATGCTAACGCTTCTCATATGTTTGCTCCTCTTCATTTGAGTAGGACTGGTTGGCTACCACTGCATTTCGCCCTGCCTATTTAACTCTCGACTGTCGCTCTGCTCAGTTTCTGATTCTATGGATCGAGCGCGTCAGTTGTCCGTGGATTTGGGTTCGAAGTGGGGTGGTGGTTTCATTCAATTTGGTGCTGGGTGTATACTCTTCTTTCCCTGACGTTATGCGAGATGTCGGTTTCCCCGGTAACCCTCGTGATATCTCAGGTTAAGGCTCGGATCTGCCGGCATCGGTGGGTTTTTCAGGACAATCTCCAGTTCCTGAAGATGGCTGCCCGTCGCCTTCGGTTTAGACGGTCATACACCACAACGGCTGCATCTCCTTGGGGTGTTTTCTCATCCTTTCACCCGTCTGCCCAGTTACCTTTTCTCAATCTTAACGTCACTCCTGCTATACATCTGCCCCCAATGTTTGTGAGGAGGGTTTTGGTCTTTTTAATCATCGAGACGGCTCGCATATCAGTCAGAGAGTTTCATCTCATGTACCTCATCGATCATTCACTTACACTTCCTGTACTTGTCATCCGTTTGTCGACCCCAACTGTCAGCCCGTATACCTCCTTATCGTCTATTCTAACTGTGATCCGCTCGCTTTGCTACCGCTTGTTACTCTTGTCTACTTGCGTACCCTCGAGTAAAGGAGTGGATGCCTAGGACCAGACTTCTAGGCACCAGCCGGTGACAACTGAGAAAGTGGGATAGAGTAGGTCCAAAACGGGACCAAGCGCAGGTTTTTATTTTAACTTATGAGAACATGAACACTACAAAAACAACCGAGTCACAACATACGTCAAATGGAAAGAGGAGGTGAATAAGTGTACGTGAATCGCAAACCATTTAGCTCCATCTTGACAAATCCATTATAGTAATAAATAGAGGGAGAGAAAGAGAAAGAGAGATTTCAATAAGCAGATTGGTGTAGGGGGGAACCCAAAGACGATATTCCAAAGACAGAAAATACTCTAACGTGCAGAGCACTGCCGCACGCTGAATCTCTTCAGAAAGTGTGAAGATAGTCCCCGAAGAGACTCTTGAGCGTGTCGAAGGCAACGCTGCCGATAGGGTAGCCCAACAACCCCGCCACTTTCCCAACGAGGTCCCCACCCTTAGTGTAGATCGTCTCGACAAAGCGGTGCTAAAAGTTGACCGGAATATAAGCAATCGGACTCGTGTGAATCAAACAAGGCAGTTACATACTTGATACATTCCGCGGCTTTTCTCGTGGAACGCGACCCATCGGTTGTCACCGTTCTTGTTCTTTTGACCATACTGGTGCTTGTCGCTAATGGTGACTTCGTAGTACCCGTCCGCATTCTTCTTGCCGAGGTTGTCTGCGTTGAACCACTCGACTTGGCAGAAGAAGGGGACTCCTCCGTTCCCTACGACTCGTATCAGCACTGTGTAGACATGATCAGGGAGAGGGCACACCTTGACTCTTCTTCTTAGCGACAAGAGCGTAGTACTCGGCAGTGCGTGTGCCCGACTGCTGCCACTCGAGTTTAATACGTTGCTTGGCTTCATCGGCGGTGGAAGGAACGAGGAGAACGTCGCCTTTGTTGACAATGGGCATGATGGTAGTTTCAAGGAGTTGAGAGGATTGAGGAGATTGAAATCAACTGAAGAAGCTTATAAGAGCTAGAGAAAGACCAGCAATGTGAGTGAGGCTTTTGTACCCTCTTGGACCTTGGGAACTCTGTCACACCATCTCCGTTACCTTTGTGGTTGTACAACATATATTGGAATATCTCCGAAATCCGCGCTATGAATTCCTGACATCAGGTTGGATTACAGGGGTCAACCCTCCGCTTGAGCTGAGTTGGCGCCACCGTCGATCTAAATTCAATTGACTTCCGTGTACATCCGAGCGAACTCGGGCACTATTAGCATTCGGAGACACCAAAAACCCGAAGAAAACAGAGACAAACATCTGAGAGGGTCTAGACTTCCTTTTACCAAGGTGTGGTGCCTACTTGTTGGTTCTAGCAAACTCCTGGACGCGAACATTCTGGAGTCATTCGTGAGGGCCGCAACTCCTCACCACCGACGCGTAGAACTGTATGATGCACTGTCACTAGTGATGTAAATAGTTGTGGTGACACGCTCTCCTGCGGTGCTTTGACGTCGTAGAATATGGATATGCTGTACAAGTCAATAGTCCGATCGAGGACATCGAACGACCCATGCATAATCGCTCTCAGTATCTTGGAAGCTAGTCAGTGTCCACTGGGAACAGCAACCTATACCTTACTTTCACAACGATCCCGGATACCTTTGCCCCAGAGATTGCAGACTGGCAGAGGATTGAACTGTACGTTGCCACCTAACTTTTCAGTCCCTATCCCAAAATTCAGCCCAGTGCTGCCGAATATCTCGTATCGTGCCTGCTCAGATGAGATCTAGATTGGCATGCTGAGGGGTAATGGCCCTTCAGTACTTCAGTTTCCATTCCAATTGATGACGGGAATACGAATGCTTGCTACTGAAATTATGTCTCTCCTTTTCGAGAGTTCATGTTTTAAGCTAGGTTCTATGCAAGACTACGATGTCCATATGCAAAATGTGAGTCCTGACTTCACAAGAGCTCAGTCAAGCGAATGGAGTATAGACTGGGTTTGAAAAACATGTTCGATACAGGTCGAGTCAGACACGGCGCCTTGAAGTAGCGCTTATATACGTAAGTAGGCTCGAGCATCCACTACGGCGGCTTGACCTGAGTTTGACGGAGTGAGTTGCGGCGAGCAAGCTGGTGATAGATGGCTTAATGTGAGTGACATGGCGCCTACTAGTAATACTTGCTCGCGCCCGATTTGGGTCTGGACTCCTAACCACCTGTTCGACTACAACAGGCGCCATGGACTCGGAGGTTTGGGTCGCTCACGGGATAGTACATACCTCTCAAGATCATCATTGTCTCGCATACGGGTATGTCATCCGCCGCAGCTTCTAGCGCTTGGCGCACAGTGCTGGTCCTGTCAACCCCCACCAGACGTTCCTAACAACGGCGTCTCAAAGCTGCCGTGATGTACTTCTGGACCCATGTATGTGAGTGTCCATGATAATCGCTGTGTTTGAGTGGTATCTAACACAGTACTGGATCGATATTGTCTTTCAGCAAATACATGTTACTCGTTTCG